TATAACGACTGGGATCTCTTTGTTCTAAGTGCAGGGCACCACACCCCCATATTGGTAGGGAAAGGAACTGACGGCGTTTTGTAAGAAGCAAGGATGAAAAGTTATGGTTTCCACGTGGTCCCACGCCACCAGCTGTTTTAGAGTTTCTAGAAGATGAGGTAGTCGCAGAAGATGCAGCAGAGTTGGGATATCAGTTTGTTGCCCGGTTGTCTTTATGAAGTTCAATTTTTCTATGACTGTCTATTTTGGTGCTTTCCTTCAGTCATAGTTCCCCAGTACCCATTATATATATATGTATATATACATGGTTATGTTTCATGGTCCTTTTTTGCGCCCTTTATGCATGGACAAAGGCTTGGACATTGGCGGACAGTCAAAACTTCTTGGTGCGGCAACGGCGCAACAGGGTGTGGGGAGTGTCCCAAGTCAACATGGGAAACAATCAAGCAGACTTTGAGCAGTCATTTTCATCTACATTTTCGAGTTTGCAAACACACTTCCATTTTGAGATGTCAGAGAGCTTTGTCCTTGGCCTGCCCAAGCAAGAGCCGGACAACGCGGGAGAGACGGATTATGCAGGAAGCAATGGGGAAGGCCGTTGCCGCTCCTTGTCCTATGGACTTTCCCACAAGTTTTTGTTTGCCGGTTCCATATGGGTTCTTGGTCTAGCTTGAACACTTGGATTCTGTTCATTGTGATGTTCTAAGTGTACGATGTGATAAGGCTGGGCATAGCTCAAACGTGTTCTTTGACAGCTCTACATCCAAAGACCGAAATTGTGAGTCTTGCTCGGATTGCACCACCTGCGTGTGCCCAACACATGCTATCTACAGCACCTTTCTGCAACGGTATTTGATCCCTGAGGAGTACTTGACAGCCCAGGCAATCTTCCGCTGTGATTCAGAAAGGCCAGAAGTCTTTGACAACATGATCCAATCAGGCTTGGCTCAAGAGCTAGCAGGAAATTCCTTCACCGGCACTGTCGCCCAAGCAGCCTTCCTTACATCCCTTGTGACATGCAAAGCCTGGGTAGACCTCAAGCCACCATTGAATGAACCAAAGACACCTTTTCGTGTGAAGAAACAGGAAGATGAGGGCATGAGCTCGGCTAGCAAGTCAGAAGGGGATGCAACATCTGCAGCAGAGCCTGCTTCTCATTCACAGCCTTCGGGGTCAGATTCTCTTGGTCCACAGGCACCACCCATGGAGGACCGGCGCAGGCCACAGAAGCGCAAGGCTCCTGATGACTCGGAAGCAAACGATCAGTTGGTACCTTTGAGAAGTACTGGTGATGCGGTGGTCCCTGTTCGTCGGGCGCGTGGCAAGCAAAAAGTGGAGATGCTGGCCGTTCCTTCCAAGAAACTGAAGCGCCCGCGAGGGGTGGGAGCAGGGAACAAGAAAGCCAAGGGTAAAAAGAAAATGGTGAGCATTTATGAAAAGGAGATGATCTTTCAGTCATTTGAGCGCGCGAAAGATGCTGGGTTCAAGGTGCCTATCAAGGAAGTGGAACGGGAGTCCCTTCCTGGATATTTCAAGGGTTGCCTCATGGAGTCAAAGTGGGGCGCAGTACGGCGCCAGCAACAATGGAACCTTCTCGTGAAGACATGCCCATTGCTTTGCAAGAAAGCCAAAGAGTTACCCAATTCACTCAGGCGGCTGCTGCATCTCAAGCTCAAGGTCAGCATTCCTCACCAGCTGTCGTCTTCCAAGTACCAACACGTCCCGTTTCCATTGCAGCAGGCCGTTGAGGAGATGATCATGGACAGGTTGGTGCTTGGTGAAGAGGTGACTCTCACACTCATCAAGAACACAATGTCCTTTGCAATCGGAATCTTCAATGAGGTGGTTGAGACTATGCGCCACAACTTTTCCACTATGACATTGGAGACTCTAAAGTCACAGGACGACCGCCTGGCCACATGTTCCCAACAGGAGCTTTCTGAGGTGTTCGATGACTTGTCGGAGCGTGCCCAAAGCTTCTTTAATGCATTGTTGCTGTGAGTTTCCTGGTATGTTCTAAGTGAAGGGTGAACGAGGTAGGTTTCTCTCTCTAATATATATTGTAACTATATATACACATATTCACATGCATTTTCTGTGGGAACAAGAAAAGAGATAGATTACATGTGTATATATATATATGTACATATGCACAATAAGTTAAATATATTTTCACTTCGGGCTATCCCCACCTGGCTGTTTTTTTTTGAGCAATGTTCTAAGTGTACAAACACAGCACTGAGAATGTTAAATTTGTTTCTCTGGATCCTGCGCCAAGGCTTCCTTCAGCCTATTTCTATGGATGCTTCTGATTGTGCACTCATGTGCCTTTGACAGTTTCGCAGGGAAACTTTTGTTGTGGGCATTGAGGTTGGACGGGTGGGACTTTTAGGCAGGGAGATGCTAAAACTGTCCACTGCTGAGGAAGAAAGCAGAGCGCTTGGCCAACATGTTCGGGGTGCGCCCAAAGAAGAACGAGAAGCCGGGTGCTCATTTGCCATTCACCCACAACGCCCTAGAGGCTGTCAGAACGTACGTGAATGTGACCTGCAAGGGGAAGGGAGTGCACCCCAGACTGATCGCCAACTTTGATCAAGTCTGGTGCACATTGCACCGCCCTGCCAAATCAGTGCGGCAAAAGGATCCCACTTGGAGAGGCTTGACAAAGGACCCAATGGCCAGATCGCTCCAAATGCGACGTGTGAGGCACCACCTTGAGAATGCCTTGAACTTGAGGTTCACAGAGCCCAATCCAGATGCAAGGATGCTCATCAAAGGTCTTCCATGCCCGAGGTCAGTGGAGGCGCCACGGCTACAGCGCCAGTGGATGCTTGGAGAACACCGAGAACACTAACAACGCTGAGCTTTATTGACGGCTATGTTGCACGCGGCTACATCACAGTGAAGGCCGGAGGCATCAGTGAGGCCAACAGAGAGCTTTTGAACCAATCCCTCAGCAAGTATCTCTACATCGAGGATCCACAAGAAGGAACTCACATTTGGAACGAGAAGTCCCTGATTCGCTACCTCAGTTTCCTGGCCGAGGAGGTTCGAGCAAGGAGGAAGTCTCTTGGGCTAACGGCCAGACACCGTGCTTTGGTGATGCTAGATCAAGCAGCTGCGCACATGTCATCTAGCTACAGGAGGATCCAAGCTCAGTGGTCCGAGCAACACAACATCGAAACTCAGCGTTTGCTATTTAGTCTATTTATTTGCAATCACTGGGGAGCATTTCTCACTTGGAACATTTCAGTATGACTTTCAGAGACTACCTTTTATACACCTTTCTATCTCCCTCTATATATAAACATATATATCTATATATCACACTTCGAGCTATCCCCACCTGACTGTTTCCTTTTTGTTTGTGCTATGTTCTAAGTGTAACCTTCTGCAAATAGTTGTGGAACCTTCTGCACAGTTGCTCAAGGAGCTCATGTGCGGCTGGTCTGACACGGATGCCCCGCCGATTCCAGGCGGCTTTGGGGCAGTTGCTGGCCCCAATGATGGTTGGCACCAAGCCTATCACAGTCTAGCGGCTTCATACAACAGAGTCGCGATTGGCTTTGGCTCAGAACTCCAGCTACGAAAGCAGCTGGATCAGCTGAGTATGAGCTTGCAAAGTGCACCCCAAACAAAGTATCTCAGCCAAAATGGAACCATACATACTGACGGGTCTCACGTTGCATATTCAATTTTGTTGTGGTCGCTGACTTTGCATGTTCTAAGTGTTTGCTCGTCGCTATATATGGAGTTGAAACTCCCGTTTTCAAAAATAGTGTGATTATTTCCATTCAATACCCAGGTGTCCCATTGAGATCTCAGTGAGGGCTGATGCCTTTGCATTGAAGACTTTGGGAAGTCCAGAGCGGCTTGATCAGCAAGGGGAGTGAGGGATATCCACGACCAACACTACCACAATGTATAATAAGGGATATCCACGACCAACACTACCACAATATATAATGCATATATATATAATGTGCTATATGATGAACATGTTCTAAGTGTGCCTTTGTGAAGGCATCGGCGGCTCATTTGGCTGGCCTGGCATCAAAGGGGCTACTGTGATTTGACAGACATCGCGGAGTGGAATTATGAAGGCATTGTTCAGCTGGAGAAAGTAGAAGTGGAGGAAGAAAAGGGGTCACGACGAGTGTAGATTGTAGATAGGTAGAATTATATACAGATGTATAAACTGGGCGTTTACTTCCTTAAAGCCAACCCATTCAACTCAACCAGTAGTGTTTTTAGCTACAAAACAAGCATGTTCTAAGTGCAGGGTGTTCTCCACACTCTTGGGTTGTTCTCTTCTTCCGTTGGAGGTGATCTTAGCAAAGCCGAGAGTGCATTGCAGCGGAGCCGGGGATCTATGAAAAGTGTTCTGGAACTTAAGGAAGTACCAGAGATCGATGGTGAGGATACTGATGGTTCCTACGAACACATGCGCATTCAAGAGCTTGCCACTTGCTCTCTGAAGGCGGCAAATATGTTTGTTTCTTAATAGTGCTGAGACAATACACATATTGTATATTTATATTCATATATGTATATTTTTTTCTGGCTGATTTGTTGGATGAAGTGATAAGGCAGGGGGGTAAAGACTATGTTCTAAGTGTGCGGGTATATAGGCTTATAAAGGATATGACACAAACGTCTGTCACCGTAGCATGCACCATCAGACAAATCCACCAATATGCTCAACATCTATCAGAATCTATCAGCTGAATGAGCCCGCTTTGCCCAACATAGACGCCAAAGCTGCCCACACGATATGATGATCATTGCTGCACAACACGGTGCCACGCACAATATGACAGCATATCATCCCTGGGATGTCATCCATGGGGGGGGTGTCCTTTCACACTTAGAACATTGGTTTATGCCCTCAATGCTTTTGTCTGAAGTTTTTTTGTCTATCTGTTTCTTTTCTTTTTCTGGTCCAAGGAAGGGGAAAAGAGCTTCCTTTGGGCGATTCAGAAGGGAGATGACACTACAACACGGATGATCCTCCCCTCTTGGATGGCAGATGTCTTGCAGATGAGGGTTTGCAAATTTGTCACTGAACACGACCAGTGGCAGGGGAGGATGGCGAAACGGGGAGCTATGGGAAAAGAGCTTACAGCTAGCCAGAAGAAAAAGTTTGATCAGTGGAGCCTCGACCTCAAGCAGAAGGTGATCTTCAACAAGAGCAAGAAGAGAGTCGTGCTGCAGGCATCAGAGGTTACCAAAGATTGCATTTGTGTCCAGCTGCACCTATCAGAGGATCCTGAGAAGCTTCTCCTCTGCGCCAGCAGTGGGGCACCCTATCGACTAGTCTTGCTGAAGAGTGAGGGGAGAGCTGAAAGCAAGACTGTTCCTTCCGAGCTTGACCATGCTGTGCCACCAGATGCATTGCAAGAACTTCGGGATGAAGCTGGCAATGCAAGTGAACAGTCAGATGAGGAGGAGAACGCGGAGATGGAAGACCTTAAACTTCGAGAGCTGGAAAATGAAGCTTACTGCAATGAATTTGGAGTGAGTGATCCTGATGACTTGCTTGTCATGGCTGACTCTGACGAGGAGGACGTTGATGTGTCTTGGGCTGGAGAGGGGGCTAAGAAGACCAAGACCTTCATGTTCCGTCCTGCATGGGTCAAGGCGGAATCCTTGGGACTGACGCAGCTGCCGCGCCATATTCAGGGATGCTCCATAGCTTGTCATGGTACAGGTAGGCAATGGCAAGGCCATTACCCGCTGGCGAGAGTTGGCTTATCCTCAAATTGGGGCGGCTCTACGGGCCGCTCTGAGTGTGAGGCTTTGGTCAAGGCCATCCGCGGTGTCTTGGAGGCCCACGTAGCGGCCTACCCACGGGACAGGCTCTGGCTGCAGCAGTTGCAGCGTGTCAAAGATGCGCAGGCAACACAGAACTTGGCATAGGATTGGGGTCGGTTCTCCCGACATAGACACCAAAGCTGCTTGTAGGACTGTAGGACGGTAGGACATGTTCTAAGTGAGCGGTCCGGCGATGGGTTTTGCAATTTCCAGCATGTTTGTTTTTTGGTGCTTAGTGGAGGACCTAGCAACTAATTCAACATAACTTGCATGGAATGAATATATTCCTGCACGAGCGATCCATCTGGATGAGGGTTTACAGTAGCAAGAGCCATTCTCTTAGAACATTTGATATCTATCTCTACATATTGTTTATGTATATTATATACACATCGTTTTGGTAGACTCACAGACTGGATGTCTTCTGTGATTTTCTCCATGAGGATCTACTGCACAGTGTTTGAAGAGGCTCGTGGTTCTCCGTTCTGAATATATATACTCCAGTCAATGTTGCATACATAGAATTGCACAGACAATATGTGTTCTTTCTCAGCATT